CAAAATATATTTTATATAGATTTACTACCAGCTGCGTCTGTTTCAAAATACAAAGAAAAATATCGTTAAAATTATACAATAAAAATTTTAGCATAAATAAGTAAATGCCTTCGTATTTCTTTTCAAAAATCTATAACAACTTTAACTCTAATTGGATATGATAAAAATAAGATAAAAGATTCTTTTGCATATTTTTTATAAGATTCACATATCTGATATGATATTTTCTTTTCAAAAGAATCTTGCACAATTTTCATTATCTCGACAAAAGATAGAAACAGCGATATTATATATTTATACATTTGAAAAATTCAATATTCACTTTTTAATATTTTTTTCTCCCATGGATTACATTAATTTTATTGTTTTTTCATTCTTTCCTACCTTTATATTTCAAATCAAAAATCATTGATATTTTATTTTGACATACCAACTTTATTGTTGTATTCAAATTTGTCATCTTTAATGATTATTTCTTTATATTTATGTTCATTGTATTAAAATAATCATAATCTTATTTTATAGAGTGCAATGAAGCATTATTTATATTTCACTGTTCACATTTTGGCTTTCCCATTGTGCAAATTATACTTGGTATAGAAAGAATTATATATTTGTTTAAAAAATACCTATGGAGAAAGAAGCCATATAATTTGATGGCATTTTTTGGAACTAAGTATTTCAATTTGTTGGTTTATATATATCCCTCCGTTTCTCTTTTATTGTTGGGTAACTTAAATTGCTTTAGTTTGTGGCAATTATATTGGTTTTTTGTTAATCGCTATATTATATACCTCCCCTTCGAATTCACAGCTTATTGTGCAGAATAAATAGATTATTGTTTAACCTACTCCTATTTAGCAAAGGATCAAGTATCTTGTATCTTAAAGAGTACTTAGTAAGATATTTGTCTCTGCACACAAGATACATTTTTTAAAGAATATGTATCTGTATATAGATTGATTTTTGAACTTTATAAATAATCACAAGCCATAAACTATTAACTCTTTTACTCTATATTCATATTCAATACAAAATAGCTCATAAAATATGTGTGCATGTCACACTAATATAATTATCACACAAAAATATATATATAATACTTTTGGTTGAAAAACTAGTGTTGTATTTTTATCCTATTATTTCTCTCCTTCCAATTAAGACTACCCACATATGCCTTATGTGGCTAATAACTCTCAAGAATTGTATCTTTATCAACACTGTCTTTAATGCCAAGAAGAAAATTATATAAAACGGTGAAGCAACTTTTCTAAATAGATCAAGACAAGGGTCTCAAGGATAGAGTTTGTTTTACCACACTTGTAATCAGAATATTTAGATTGATAAAGTTATGAGTGCGTATTTCATGTTCATAACACTAAATAACGAAGATTATTAAGAAATTTTTCCGTAGGCAAGAATGTTGAAAACATATTGACATGGTAGGATTATGTGGCTGAAGACAAAATATTTATATTGAAAAAAATGGAAGAGAATATCTAGATTTACTAATGAAGATTAAAAAAACAGTTAACAGAAATATGAAAATAGCTGATGAAAAAAAATAATATATTCATATACATTAATTGAGCCTGAGCTCTATTTCAAATTCTGGTGATATACATAAAACGGATCCGCCCAAACCTGGAATATATATCTAATAAAATCATAAAATATAAAAATTCTTGCATTTATATTTTATAATATATATTTTTTTATTAACATATATACTCTAAAAAATATAGACTCCCATAAATATATTTTGTTATAAATTATATATAGTTTTTCATATGCTTGTAGACAGGGATGTAATAATTTCTTAATGGGAGTCTATATTTTTTAGAGTATATATGTTAATAAAAAAATATATATTATAAAATATAAATGCAAGAATTTTTATATTTTATGATTTTATTAGATATATATTCCAGGTTTGGGCGGATCCGTTTTATGTACATCCCTGTCTACAAGCATATGAAAAACTATATATAATTTATAACAAAATATATTTATAATTTAGGATCATTATTTTTTACTTGTAGGATCAATCAGAAATGTGGCTAAAAGTTTTGCATTTTTTTAAATACTATAAAAATGTAACAATTACCGAATTGGACTATTATTAAAAAATAAACAATATTTACAATTTATATTAGGAATGCTAAAATTGTAAAATTGGTATATAACTACCTTATAGAGATTAGAATTATTTTGGTCGGAAAAATTAAGCCAAAAATATCTAAAATATTTTTAGGGGTGGTAGATTAGACATTTTAAATTTCTCTTTTGAGGTCTACAGAATTTATTTTATAAAGAAATCAACTTTATAGATTCAGTCAAACCTGCCTAATTTGGACCTTTGATACCGGTAACTCTAAATGCCTTGATAAATTGGTAAACTCTCCACTTTAAAAAGTGGATTAAATTCATTTGAATAAGGCAAGATATCTATAAAGTGGCATTTTAACTCTATCTTGTATTACGCTTTAAAATTAGTTTAGATTATGACCCGAAATTTTTTTACAAACGTTGACATTTTGATACGGCAATGTTTGCTTTCTTATAATCATCATTCTCTAATGAGATATTGTTAGCATTTTATGTTTCAAATAGGTTTAATGTATGACAAGATATCCTTTGCCTAGGAATGTATTAAACTCATTTAAATCACAGGTGACTCAGCTGTGAAACAAAACTGAGCTCTAATAATCTTTTTCTTAAAATATTTATTTGAATTACATATTTAGATATTTTTGAAGTTAAGGTTTATATTTTTTATTATCTTATATCGGGTTGCATAGTATTCATTGGCTAAATAAAATTTTCACAATCACAGGAAGTTAATTTTTATTTATTTCTGAATTATTTTTATTATATATATTTCCTTTATTTTAAAGGATTAGTTAATTATGACGTGTTATCTATATATTTGTATATATAAATATTCAATTTATATTAATTACTCATAAAATGTTAGTTTAATTAATAATTATATATATATAAATTAAGTAAAAAAAAATCTTGTTATAGATACATCTAGCAAACATTGAACAGTTATTTAAAATAAGTTATGTGTCAATAAATTTAAAGATATTTCTCGTAGATTGGCTTTTAATGATTAGATGCTGAAATATATTTTTTCCTGAAAGGCATAATAGACATTTAAGACTAACAATACCTTTTTTGCCAGCTTTCTTTTGTGAAATCCAAAAAAATTTTCGAAACTTGATAAGGTATTTTTAGATTTATGTCCATTATGGTAATAGTTGTAGAAGGGTTAGTAAAATATCTATATCATCATTCTGAATTATTTGAATTTCATACTCGCCAGATGGCAAGTCAAAGTCAGAATTAAATATTACATTCTGTATCAGTCTGATTCTATGTCTGATAAAGTATCAATTCCATATTAAATATAAAAGATACAGAATCAGACATTTAAAATGAAATTTTAAAAAATAAATTTAATTAGTTTTAATTTATTATAAACTTTTATCTTATTTTATATATATATGGGGTGGTACAGTGGTGTGTGATGAAGGCTTGTAAACCGAAGGTCCTACGTTCAATCCTGGGAAGGAGCTAAAAATTTTCGGGTTTTTCTTCGATGGTGTATGGCTTTAGACATATGATATGATAAATTTCTGAGCTGGGAAATGCCACCCCGGTCACCGACAAGCTTGGACAGCCGGGTGTGCTAGGATTCTTGTCCAATAAACCAATAAAGAAGGCCAGCTGAACTCGTGGGTCAGATGATAACGATTTCTTGGCCAGCGCTAGGATGATGGGATGATGGTGACCTCGGGGGCCGTTCAAGCTCAAGTCTGTCTACCAAGTTACAATGGACTTGATAACGATACTCAGGTGGGATATCTGGTCGATATTGATTTGATGCCCCGGTGGGGGAGATCAAGATACTTTGGCCTCGTGATACACCGGTGATCGATACAAATGAAATAGATCAGAAATACAAATATTGGGAGATCAGGATTGGGATATCTGTCGATTTGATAACTCCGTGTTGGGAATATTGAGGTAGGATATCTGGTCGATACTGATTTCATACACCGGTGGGAGTTAAAGATACTTTGGCCTCAAAAATGATAAACCGGTGATCGATACAAATGAAATCGATCAGAAATACAAAGATAAAAATAGATAGCAAGATTAAAAGAAGAGCCATGTCAAAACAACAAAACTTTGCAATATCTCCATATAGAATGGAATTGAAATAGTTTAATATAAAAGATTATATATTACAAGCTATCAAATCATTAATAGGGAGCATAAAATAGTTACATTACAACTTATAAAAATGCTTAAGTATTTATTAATGATGTTAACTATATATTAGAATTATAGTTAGATAATTAGTTATTATAAATTTATTAATTATAATATTTTTTTATATCTTTTAAAGTTATTGTAATCAATAACTTTTATAATCAAAAAAAATGTAAGGTTATAGAAATATTAAATTTGGAAATAAAAGAAAAGTGTAGAATTAAAAAAATATACACAATTATTGGAAAAAAATATATAATATTAGTAAGTCATAATTATATAAAGTCATTAATTCTTGCTATCCTTTATTGATTGAGAGGCAAGTTCCTTTTTTGGGTTAACAGTTAACATTATAATTGGGAGCAAAATAGTCAAAGGGTAACCTATGCATAGGATGTTCATTTAGGAGGTTTCGGATATTAAAAGTTTGAAGCTGATATATTTATTATGTTTATGGCTTATCTTTGGCGTAGATAGAATCCCTCGTTGGGATCCTGGGTCTTAGCAGAGATCCGTTTCCCAGCTCTTTATAGAAGACCAGAGCATGAGAACGACGTTAGAGTCGTGGCAATTAATGGTAGGAATCTATGATTGGCAGGAAGCAAGCGAATATTTAGCTAGTTTATTCGCCTCGTCATCTATGGTATCCCTATTATATTGGAAGGGGCAAGAGGATCGGTGCATGAGAAATCCCAGGTTAGGAATTCCCTCCTCTTTCAAGGGATCATAGTCGAACAATCAGGCCGCTTACCATCGGAATTGTAAAGGTCAGTAGGTTCGAGGGTTGATGGGATGCAGGCAGATTTTAAGGCCCTGTCAGTGGTTTCATAGCATTTTGAATACCTAATAAATCTGCCTCTGCTTGCACTGTAGAGAGTGAGGGCTTTGAAGTTGACCGACTTTTGACAGATATTCGAATTACCTGTTTGTTAGATAATTAGTTTTAATTATATAAATTTTTATATTAAATTTATTTAATTTTAAATAAAAAATATTTGCACATGATTTAGAAAAATAATATGAGGTAAAACTTCCTAATCTAAAGATGGATAATGATAAGTGGCTTTTCATTATATGCAGAGAATATTCAAGAGCACGAAAAGGAAAGAGTGGAAAATACATGCATTTTGAAGAATGGACTCGTATTCATTTGTATATTTATGTAAATAAATATTTCAGAAATTCTACAATCTTGTTTAAAAAATATTATAGCTATATAAACTGGTGTAAATCACATTAAAATATCAAATTAAACATTGAATGATGATTTAAAAAGTTAATAAAAATATTGTTTACAAAGAGAATTTAATTTTTATTTTTGATTGCACTATTTTTTCTATATTTTTTCTGAATTGAGGATAAATTCTCATAGTAATTAAGTACAGTTTGATTTAGAGATATCGTACTTTTGAGATAGGTTTTTCTCCATAATAAATAAAAGATCCTTTCATTTGTGTTTATACTATTATTGCCAATAGATTATTTATAATATATTAGGAAAGAACTTGAAAATATATTTTAAAGTATGCAATTCCGTGGCAGGGTAAATTCTATCCTCCAAAGAATTTATAGGTAATAGTATTTGTAAATTGGATGGAGCCAGATGATGAATTGTAAATCATACATTGATTTGAGTCAAAAATATTAAAAGGGAATTAAAACGGCATTTGACTATTAATTCCACATTGTTGTAAATATTTGTTAGCTTAAGGAGAAGTCGAAGTTTGAATTTTCCTTTCGCCTCAAAAATCACATAAATCTCGTAAAATTTTTAATCGATATTATCTTTTAGTTTTCTAAATTGTATTATATATTAATATTTGCAATCTCATAACTTCAGCCAAATCGATATCTTTTTTTTTAAATTTTACACAAAATTTTGCGTAATTAAATAATTATTAATACATTCCAATGTAAATAAAAATCGGATATGGTATTGAATCTAATAATGTATCCGCTACTTATTAAATATCTGGTTCTGGTCACTTAGACATTTTCTAAAGGTCCTTCAAAATATGCTCTTCTAGATAAAAAAATTCTGTCACACTTGATGTCGAAGACTCCATCCTGCAGGGCTTTTTGCAGTCTTTTTGAAGCATAAAAAGTTTATAAAATAATTCTATTCAGCAATTCTGGCTCCTATTTGATAGGCAAATTAAATAGAATTTTTTGGTTAAAATATATTCTTATATCCATCAGTGTTAAAAAAAATAATTTTGTTCCATGATTCTAAAAATAAAGTTTAAAAAAAAAATTATTCAATTCATTTTAAAATAAAATCCATATATTTTTTTTAATTAATTTACTATATCATCTTATCTTAATAAATATTTAAATAACATAACAAAATAAATCCAGTCTTATAGTATTTTTTAAATACATTTCAGAGAGTCCTAACGATATCTTTTATAGGGGATAGCATAAATATAAATTCTATAATAAACTTTAAACTTATAAAATATTTCATTGAAGAAGTAGGGGAGACCCGAGGTATCCCTCAGTGTTTTGCTCTTCTGCGATAAAATTTATTTTAAAGGTTAAAACTATTATATCTTTGAATAGCCTTATCATTAAACTACAAAATAATTTAAAAAAAACACAACAACTTTTTATTATATAGGCCAATTAAGGTGTAACTAAAAATAGTGTTTTTTTACTACTCGCCGACGACTATGAAGATGGCAAGACTCTTGGGATAGGAAGATAAATATAATTTAACAACTAATTTTTATTGTTAAAATGAACACATATTATTTACAAATGCTAAAAAAAAATTTTAATGTATCATTACTATATACTCTTATATAAAATGAATTATACCTAGCATAAATGTGTCCATTAGGATTTGGTACGCTTTATCCAGTCTTCGTGTTTTTTTAATATGCTTATAACTTTAGATTTTAATCATTTTTTAATTTTTAGTATTATTTATGTTTTAAGATTACAATAATTTCTTCCTTTGTAATTTAATGCACTTTTATTAGTCATTTAACCCATTGCCTTTTAAGTTCCTTATGTAATAATTTTAGTTCCTAAAAAATTTTCTGGATGAAAAATAAAATCTGCTGTCTAAATATATTCGATAGTCTAATAATCATGGAATAAGTAATTTTTCCTTAAATCAAAAATCTACTAATAAACATATGGTACAATATGTAAGAAATACTTCTATTGATCAAATTTGAAAACTATTAACCCTAAAGATGACATCGTTATAGATATTTGGGTTCTCCTATTTAGCTAAAAAAAATTATCTAATAAATAATTTTAGCTATTTAGGTCATTTAAATAATGTCAAATATATAATTATTTATTTTATAATTATACTAAGTTTTTAGATAAATCAATATAGAAAATTTTTAATAAATTACATCAATGATATATTAAATAATTAATTAATATTTTAACCTTAAAAATTTATTTTTTTTGAAAAGAAAAGAAACATAAAATATATCTATCATTAAACCAGTGGCGTAGCTACGGGGGTGGTTTTTGGGTTTGGACCCCTCCCAGAGCAAATTTTTTTTAGATTATACGTTCAAACGACTTAAAAGTGACTTTGTATCAAATAAAAATACCATTAATATTATATTTTTCTGGTTTTGATGTTTGTGGAAGGATATTATATTACTATTGAAATTATTCTGGGTAGTATTATAATAAAGTCATTGAGAATAATCTACTAAATTATAATAACATATTATTCATGCATTTAAAAAAAATATTTATTATATATTGTCGAAGATGTGGTTAAGATTTTTAAGATAAACCCGGCCGAAGGCCGGGCAAAAGGGCCGAAGACCCGTTAAAGGGGGTCTGGGGGCGAAGCCCCCATGATTTTATATGTATGGACCCCCTCTAAGGAAAATTCCTAGCTACGCCACTGCATTAAACCATAACATTTAAAATCATACCCTTTAAACTTTTTGGAAAAACCATTATGAGTAAGCTTCGTTTAGCATTGTAAATCGATAGATTGGCGAATATTATGGAATTGGAATCTGTTAATAATAATTATATTTTGCGGAAACTTTATTTTTTAAATTGTTTCTTGATTTAGTTTTAAAATATTACGAATTAAAATTAACCTTATATAGATAAAATATTATTATTAAAATTATTTTAAAATTAAAAATATCCAAGAAATAAATTGTACAAGAAGTAGAAGTTAAGTTACCACTCACGAATATTTATTTATAATTCGTGCTTATCATTCTCTATTTAAACACAACTCTATTTTAAAATTTTATTAATTTTACAAATACATTACAAATATTGCCATAGAATTAAAATGTAAAATTTGAGGATTTGATATTGATAATGTATGGCTCCTATATAATCACTAATATAAACATCTTTAAATTCGCAATATTGAACATTGAGAAAGAAATAATGAATTCTCTGAATTATTTATTAACTCAGTTAAAAAAAAACTAAATTTAAAAGAAAAAATAGCAATTATTACGATATAAACGGAAACACTAACATTCGTATTTACAACTTAATTGCTCAGATAAAACTGAAACATTGTCTTTTTTTTATTGTAAATAATTTTATTTAAAAAACAGTTTTAATTTAAAAATAAAAAACAATATAAACTATATCAAAAATGAAATATATTTTATAAAAACAAATAAGAATATATTAAAAATTGGTATTAATATTTATTTTTTATTTTTTAATATTTTTTTTTTATTTATTTATTTTATAAAAAATAATAAATATAAGATCTTCTGGATTTTGGTATAAATTTTTTGATGTAATAATAATTAAAAATTTCATTACTCAAAAGTTTTAAGAATTTTGCATACCTTTTCGGTTCAATTGCGTAATTTTAGATTATTTTTTTATTAAAAATAATAAATAAATGATCGTCTAATTTTGGTAAAAAAAATAAATAAAAAAAAATATTAATAATTTCCCCGTGATTCAATGAGTTACCTAAAAATTATATGAAAAAAATATATATATTATTTAATTTAGAAAAAACATTTTTAAAAAAAGTAGTATATATATCATCAAGAGTGGAGTTTAGGCTTAGAAATTGGACTGGCAGATTTCTCGAAATCTTCTGAAGAATCCTCATGTATTTATCTCCTTTTTTGCCTAAGGTTTTGATAAAATGTCCCTCATTTCCGACATGCCTAAAGTGTTGATGACTATTAGTTAAAAGACTGTGTTTGAGGCCAGCATATTTATTTTTTTGAGGACTTTATTCCTTTTCGATAGCAAAGAATGATATGTCAGTCTTCGCTGTAAAATCGATACTATGTAGTCACAGGTCAGTGAGAGAGCGTTTGTCCAGGGGATAAGGGATATACCAACCGAACTTGAGGCATTGTCATTTGAAGTGCTACTGGTTCAAGAGTGAATAGGATATTAAATGTTTTGAGGGCAGCTAGGAGAATGTTGCTAATGCATTTATAGCTGGGGTATCGAACGTGAGAGAACTTGCAATGAAAGAAATGGTAGATATTAGATTTGATGGACTGTCCACAATCGATGCAAATGGAGAGTAAATCTTAGAAATGCGAAGAGCTATGGATATGGGTAGTTGTTCATCAGTTATGAGGAAGCCAAGATTAGAACTGGAGATGGCTCCCTTTATAGTCAGAGTTTGCAATTAATATTATGTTTATTTTCTCATATATAAATAAATTATATTTAAAATGATATATAACTATTACGGACCACTTCTCAGGAGAAATATTTAGTCAATCTTTTATTAATGTAATTCAAAAATGTGACAGTTTTCATGTCTGAACTTTTCTTCTAACATGCCCTGAAGATATTGAGTAATTATTAAAAATATAAAAATAAATAATCTTTTTGGCTATCATTTATATCTCAAAATATTTTATTAGAAAAGATATCATACCTACAATATTACCCAGACTCAAAAACCTAGAAAAATGATTAATAAAGAAGTCAAAATATATATTATTTATTATTTTTATTTGATATATGGAATTATTATGCAAAAATAAATTTTTAGTCAATTTCAATATTCATTTTGTACAAAATATTATAAATCAGATGGTATCAATTATGTAGGGCTTCCTGGTTTCATTTATAATCTAAGAAGCTTTTCTAAAAATTTTGTGTGGGGCCCGAGTCCACAATGCTCCATTCAAATGATGCATACCACTGATCTAAAATGGTTTCTTGTGCACTTTTCAAATTATTGTTATAAAAGATACTTTCTTTAAATATGCCATCATTCCGGGAATATTATAGTCATAGGTTGTTAGTCAAAAATATATAACTTATTTTATTCCATTTTAAATATTTTATTCTTATTATATACATTACTCAATCATAAAACATTAAAAAATAGTAAAATCAACGTTAAATAATTTTTTCTTAAATTAAATTTACCCATTTTTTTAAAATACTTGTAATCATGATGGATTAAGTTATTACTTGGAAATTTTAGGAAGCAACATTTGATTTAGTCAACACCTTTTAATGTTATAAAAAATTACTGTGTATTACCCATAGGGTAGACCGAGACTAGATAAATCGTTGGGCATGTCAAACTATTTTTAAAAAAATTTTATTTAAAAACATTAGGATATTTCAATTTTATCAATACATCTATATACCTAAAATATTTTAAAATAATTAATTATAAAAAATCATATAATCTAAGATATAAAAATGTATCAACTTCGGAAAATTTATGCAGTATAAGAATATAATTTATTTAATTTTAAAAATATTATTATACAATTTTATAGTAAAGTAATTGAACCCACATTTATAATGAAAATATTTAGTAAACATTATGGACTTTTCTATTATTTTAAGCATGATGAGCAAACAAATCTAGTTCTAGTGGAACTTGCTTAGTGTTGTTAATTTTCGATTTTTGACGGCGAACTCAATATTTTTTTCAGAATAATATTAGACAAGCCTAAGGATTTTACTCATAGATAGCACTAAGATTTTATATCTATAACTTAAAATCCTAAGGCTTCGGCAATATTTTACTGGCTAAAACATTGAGTTAGCCGTTGTTAATCGGCTCAAATCGAGTCGTTTAACAACACTAGATTTGCCTACTTTGAACCATGCCTTATTAAAAAATATAAATTAATTATCTTTTGGATCCCGTATAGTAAAATTTATGCATTTTATATCCCTTAAATATTAAATGGAAATTATTTTTAAATTTTTGTAGATATAATGCTATTTATATTGGTGCTCAGGTATCGTTAATTGGGAAAAATATTTAAAGGAAAATAGGACAACCAGAAATCAAACAAACGGATCCCCTAACAGCATGTAGAAATCCTCCTCTTCCGAGGCAGGTTTCCTCTTTTAGAAAATCAATTTTCTTTTGGATTAAATTCATGTAATCAAAATTCCAGCCAAATAGCGATTAAAATTCCTGAACCCTAATTCGGATCCAAAACTCCTTTGAGTTTCAAAATATTATTCTATAAATATCAGAATTAAGAAATAAAAATGTCATTTTTTTTTACTAAAAATAATCTAATGGTTTAGGATACCTGACAAGATGTTTATGATTTACCTCAAAGTTAAAGCAAAATCAATACTTTTACTAAAAATTGATAAATTCTTTTTCTTTCTTCTTTCATTTTTTTCTCTCTTTCTTTCTTTATTTTATAAATAAAAAATTTATAATTTTTTGAAAATAAATTTTTAAAAAATATGAAAAGTTTACCATAGTATTTATTGAGAGGTCTATCATCTAGACAAATTATTTTTTATAATTGAAAAACATATAATTTAATAGAGAATTATTAATATATATTTTTTAATAATGAAAATCGATATGAGAAAATCAAAAAGGAAATATTTTAATGTTTCCAACTAAATAAATAGAGAGTTTATCAAATTATAGATCATATTTTATCTTAGTCTTTTTTTAATTTAATTAATTTTTTCTATAAAAAAATCATAATTTTCTTCCATTTATTCTATAAACCCTACGTTCCAACGAGGTTATCCAACCCATATTCTTTAAAATCCTTTTATTATAGTTTGAAAGGCAGAAACAATGGTTAAAATAGGACATAATTAATTATGAAAGAAAATAAATTGAATTCGTTAGCATATATGATGCCTTCTATAAAAATCAAAATAAATTCAAAATCCTTATAAAGATATAAAAAAATAAAATTGTAATACCTATTTTGACGTGTTTAATAGTTTCCATAGTGCTGAACCACATATCGCATATCTTAAACTGGAAACTCAGCTTGTAAATACCCTTTGACTCGAAATTATATTTTAACGGTAAATTCGTGAACTTTATAATAAGGAGAAAAATAAAAATAATTTAGTTTATAACCAAAAATATAAAATAATTAATATACCTGGAGGCCGGCAATATTTCTATTATCAAAAAATTTTCTCCGACTAAGTTAAGGGGCCAAGCCTTAAATGTTTCCCCATAAAGAAAAGGAAAATCCCCAATCTAAAAAATAGATCGATCCAAAAAGGAAATTGTCAATCAAATAAAGAAAAGTGATAGGTGGGATAGGTTCTATGACAAAAAGAAAATTCCCATTAAATGAAGGAAAATCGAGTTTTTTTATATATATTTTTTAAAAAAATTCAATTTTAAAATTCAATTTTTGGTTATTTTAAATTTTCCTTCTCATTTTATTTGTGGCTCCACGTCAATTCGGCTCAGCGTCAATTCAGCGCGGAGACAATTCGGTGCGTATCTAATACAGCTAGCTGCAATTTATCATAAATTTATTAATTTTGAATGTTTGTACTATTAATTATTTCTTCATATTTTTTTTACAAAAATCTCAATTTTATTTAGTAAATGTGTAATATCAATAAAAAATTTAATAATATCAAAAAAAAATTAACATATTTATAATTTAATCATCCTTATTTTATACTAATAAATTTATAATTAATTGAAGCTGTATTAGATACGCACCGAATTGATGTTACGCATTGACGCTAGGCCAGATTGACGGCGCGCTTGCGCTGAATTGACATGATAACTTTATTTCTAACTTTTTGAGATCTTTCTAAGTCATTTTTAATTTATAATTCACTTTTTTTCTTAATTTTTTTTTCTTCTCATTTGTGATTATTCTTTCATGTTAAAAAATTAATTTCTTAATTTTACCTTTCTTCAATTCTCAATTTTTATATTCTTTTTCTCTTTTTTCGATTTTTAGAGATTTTTTTACTTTTAGTTTTTAGGTTTCATTTTTTTTTCTTAAGTAGAATATTTTTACTTTATAATTTTTTTTATTAGATTATATTTTTGACTTTTAATTTTGTTATATAATGAAAATAGAAGGAGAGATATGATTGTTTAATTTAAAATTTCAATTTTTATTTTAGGTTATTTTTTATTTAAAATGATTTTCAAACATCTTTTATGACACAAACCAAACCGATATTATAATTTTAGAGATTTAGAATAAGTGAAATATAATAATAAAACAATAATTAATAGAAATTTTCCGGCCCTAACTAATATTATAGTGTAAAATAAATATTAAATACATTTCTATTATTCATAAATTTGTATTTAAGGGTAAAACGGATAGTAAAGTTTCAAAACATACCTCATAAAATGATTATTCGTTGAAAAAAAATTTATAAGTCATTTGAAACAAAAGTTTTAAGGCCAATTTTATTTCTCAACAAATACATTATATTTCAAAATCATTTGACTCTATGTATGTTATTTTTTTTACTTCGCGATTTTTTACATTAACCATTAAATTTTCCCATTTATTCTATATTCATTTATTATTAAAATTTATCATTTGCTTTCTCATTAATTCTTAAATTTAGTTCATTTGTTATTGCATTTTTTCATTTATTTTATTACTATATATGCTTTTATTTTTTACTCCTCCCTCTAAATGAGATTTTGATCACCAGGTCTTATTATTTTTAATAGCCTTATTAACATGTAAAACAAAAAAAATATCAATAAAATATTATTTAAATATTTATAACTAAAGCAATGAATGATAATAGATTGAAATGCAGTTTATCTGTAGAATTCAATGTAAGATAAAGGGTTTACGTGTAATTTTTAAAAAAGTTATGGATTAATGATGTGCCACCTAAATAATAGTAGCAATTTTGATTAAAAAAAATAGAATCTTATCATATAAAGAGGTGGATCTTATAGCAGTATATAAGAAATAATAATATTAATCTAAATAACATAAATGAATTGTAGTATCAGATGATTGTCTTTTCATTGCAGATATCGAATGATTGAAATTTATTACTTTCTAAATTAACTAAAAAACTAAATTATCAAATATTTATTATGGGGTTTAATATTTTGGTCAATATGATGAATACACTTATTCATTTTCCATATCAAAATAATAAGGGTTCGATATCTTTATATAAGTGTGATTTTTTATTGTTAGAAAGCAAGGTTTAGGTCGTATATTTTATTTAACTTACTTCTTTAGATTCTTCTAGTTCCCTTGTTTCATTATGTGTCGTAATTGATAATAGTTTTATCTTGTAGGTCTCGACCATGTGATCGAAAGGTACCGAGAAATTGAAATGTACAAGAGATGGAGTTTTTTTGTGATAACTCATCCTTTCTACGTGAAAGTTAGGTAATAGAGTTTTTATAAAAAAAAGAACATTTACCTCTATTCTCATTATAAATTTTATCAAAATATTTCTATAGAAAAATTAAATTATGTTGGAATTTCCTGCATTTCCCATAACTTATCAATAAAATAAAATAGGTTAATATTTTATTTTTGTTTAATTTAATGGATAATATACATGGATAATTGAAACATCTACTAAAGCTTGATTTTTTGGATTGTAACGAAAGAAGTAACTAGTTATTTTTAAAGTTGTTTTTTTAAATATATTGGATATTTTTATATATATCTATTATCTATAAATGATGATTCCCTCCAAAATATTACTGTTATAAATGTAATGTTCCATTTACATCAAGCTTTCAATGAAATATTTATTAGTCAAGGAAAGCTTATTTATTCGAGAATAAACTAAAAATAAAATTAAAATTTTGAAAGAAGTTTATTGTTAATTAGGGCTTTCAAAATCCTGAATAATTTTTATTTTATTTAACTTAAAAAGGTTTTCAATTATATTTTTTAATTTAAAATATATTTTGGCATGTAGTAAAACATTGCGCCGAAAGATTATTTGGCCTTGCGAATAATTTTTTTTGACAATAGTTTGAACCCTAAAAATTTAATTAAAACAGAATTCCAACCCTAACCCCTTTTTTAATTTAGAGTTTAAGGTTCAAGAAATTGTTTTCTTTTTCTATTTATTTACATTATTGAAAACATTTTTTTATTGAAATATTTTTTTTTCGTGGAATCATTTTTATCATATTTGATGTATAAATTTCAAATATGTTACCAACCTTATTTTATAAAATTTTAATTATAATGATATGTAGTATTTGCTTATAGAATCCATGTGGAATCCGAACTCTCAATTTTTGAATTATTTACTGAGAAAATAATTAATATTTGAAAAATATGATCAGACTTGAAAATGTGCTTTGAGCATCTAAGATCTACAATGTTGTGATGATTTAATGAAACATATTGACGAATTAAAACCCATCCATATAAAATTATTATTTTTGCAAAAATAATTAAAATATAGACAAAGCATTATTGAAAATTCTTTTATTACCTTTTGTCATTTTAATAATTTTTGCAAATAATTTTATATGAATGAATTTTAATTTAATAGTCAATATGTTTCATTAAATCATCACAACACTGTATATTATTTTGCCATCTATGGATTATTTATTTATTAAAGATACTTGGTCATAACAATGTTATCTTTTATTTAAAATATGAGTGTCTGGCTGATGTATCAAAGATTGATAAGTAATGTATGGTCTTAATTTTTTTAAATGCACTTATCATTTTAATTTAAATAAAAACAACTACATACAGCCATTTTTTCTATACTATTCAAATATTGTGGGAATTCCAATTAAATTAATAATATGCCAAATATAATGTTTATATTATTTTCAAATAAATTTTATAGTAAGTCCTTATTTTTCTGTATGCTCCGAACCCTTGAACTCGAACCTGGTCCATATATTTTTTTACTTACCGAACCACCTCGTTTTGGAATAAGGGATGATTAAATTAAATAGTGATTTGAATCAAATTTATTTATTCATATTAGTGATTAAATTGTGATATATTTTTCAATCCTATTATATTATGTATGATATAGTTATTTTCTTTATTAAATATTTAATATCTTATTATAAATACCATTTAAAACATTTGTAACTATTTATCTTTAATACAAGATAGTATTTAATAAACATTATATTGTAGTATGTGTTTTTTAAATTCCTTTAAATAAAATTTGTATAGCAAAATTATTTTGGATAAGATTATATTAAAAATGAAGTTTTATATAATTTAAAAAGTAAGTTGCAGTGTAATTAATTACTTTCCAAATGTAAATATTACTAGTTACTTTTTAAACGTAACTTTTGTAAAATGTAACATTTCCTTTAATGTATGTAACTTGTAGCTTTAAATAATTAATTTTTAGAAATGAGTTATACAAATACTTTTCAAAGCTGCTACTTATAACTCTAACTAATAACTTTAAAGGTAATTCACTTATATAATCATTTTTATTATTCTAATCATTGATTTGAATATTGATTTATTAATATATTTTATATATTCATTAATTATAATTTCATTTTGGCTTCATTTTTTATAAAAATTCCTAAATTCTGATTTCCCCTAATTTACATGCCAAATTTAAGAAATTTTGCATTCTTAAATTATATAAATAGTTATGCTTAATATATATTATATTAATTATTTAAATTTATAAATTATAATCAAAATTAACCAAATTTTTTTAAAAATATGAAATATATCAAAAAATTATATCGCAAAAGAACATACATAAAGTAAAATATATATAAGTCTGACATTACACTGATTTAGAGGGTTTGACTAAATACTTATAATTGGAATATTTAAAAAGGGTAGGGAAAGAAATGAATAATAACAAATAATAAAAATAAAATGGAATAGAATAAAAGATTACCAATTTTTGATATTGTGTTAAAATATAATAGTTATATATAATATAATTAATATATCCTTATTAATATTATATAAATTTTAATTCTATTATTATATATATTATACTATATTTTAAGTTATTATAAATTACAAAATTTAAATCCAAATTTCTAATAAAATAAAATTGTGTGTATTATAATTTATCTTATAAGAGCAAATTTAAAAAAAAATGAATGGGTCTTTTTATTTTTCGATATATGAGCTCTCTTAGATAATATAGGAAAACGTTAACTTTCTACTATTTCTTTCAATCTTTGATACAAAATATATTTACTTGTTATTTATATATGTATATAATATATTTTGAATTTTATAGCCAAACCAAATTTTTTAAGTCTTAGGCAAAATTCTTAAGGTTTCCTTTTTTTCTTTATACTTCTCATCATTTTGGCCTGATACATACATAAATCGGATTTTTTTATTAATTTGAATTTTAATATAAAACTTGGAAATAGAAAATATGTTTAATCTTCACATAATAAAAAAATATTTAATTTGTTTATTTGAAACTAATTAATAGGAGTTATATTAGGTTTTAACTTATATCAAAAAATATTAAATATTTTATTACAAATGGATAAAAAAAATTTATTTATATTGTTATATAGAACCAAGAAATGCAAATTATTTGATGAGTAAACTTTTTTGAAATAGATGGCCTCATTAAGATAGCTCGCCATTTATTTGGTTTAATTTTCTCACTAATAATGTGAATTTGATGAAATCCTCACCAAAAACAATAAGAGTATTGGTATATTTATTTATTTTCAAGATTTCTGTCTAACTAATTGCTAAGGCCTATCTGTTGTGCTGAGCCCTAAATTTAATACATGTGAAATCCCAAGCAACTGGAAGTCAAAGCCTCATTTTTAAAAATTATCATTTATTGTAAATTTGGCGTAAATTTTTAAAAAGGTCCCCTAGGGAACAACAAAATAATATTGAACAGCAATTTACGTTATTTTATTTATAAAATGGTGTAAAAATAACAAAAGCTATATTAAAAAATTTTAGAGTGCGCTAATATCTTATCAACAAGGTCAACTATTTACCAAATAAATAATGTGATCAAACTAATTAATGCTTTATAATTTAAAATATCGCATCCATAATTTTTATTATTATATATTTCTAAATAATTACCGAATTTCAACTAGGTGAATGCTATTAGAGACAAATTCAAGTCCGATTGTATTCGTATTATTGACCTTGAAATAAAAATTCATGCATTTTTTTAATTTATTTCCTTTTACTTTTAATCCTTTATTTCTTTAATTTCCTAATATTTTCTTCTTTTTTTCTTTCTCTTTGCTTTTTTAAGTTTAATTAAATTAATATGAGTGTAAATTTCGTAAAATTCTAACTGTTTTATTGTAATCAAAATTGCCAAATTTAGAAACGACATTCATCAAAATTGTACAAGGTATTCCTCGAATCAAATTTTCGATTATTGAATCGTTAACCTCGAAAATTTTGGAAAGTCCTCTACCTGCTATCTTTACATCTTTTAAAAAAAATTCATTTTTATGTATGCTATAAAATAAATTGTGGTATTATATATTTCCACTTAATAATATTGCCTATTTCTATCATAGACTTATAATACACTCTTCATAAAACTTGACGCGGGAATTCGATATAGGAGAGGACAATTTTTAAAAAAAATTACAAATATTCTTGAAGAATATCTTAACTATCATCTAAATAATGGATTTTATTCACATTTTATAATATAGGCTAATTTCTGATATATCAATCATCAAAAAAGGTAAATTCTGATTACCCCTCATTCCAGACTGGCTATTTGTATATTCTACGTCTTTTGACCACCATATAATATATTGATTATAATATCTTTAAACACCGATAAAGCTATTTTGTTTTATGCTGACAATTCATAAATTTTACTGTAATCTTATCGTGAAATTGAACTGTTGAGATAAATTTTAGCTTCAACCTTGATAAACTCTCTTTTCTCGATGTTGTAAAAAAACTTGATCTTATAATATAATAAGCACTAGAAGCTAGATGAATTATTAATTTTATTAACCCATTAATGTTCATACTTTTTCCAGCCGATAAATTCTTGGTTTTTTCAGATTTTATTTATTTTAGTCTAACTTAGAAATCATAATAAAATCGGAAGAAAAAAATCATCCTAAATAAGAAATCTGAACCGTTTCATATCTGCAACGTTGATTATTAGTGGTATAAAAATAGATAAACTTATATTGCAAAAAAATCAAAATACGATAGATAATTTCAAGATTTTTTTATATTTTATATTTATAAGATACAATTTTGTAATTTTTATAATTTATGAAATTATTTAAAAGAATCAATATGTATTGCTATATGACATATGTAATATATTTCCTCTGTTTATGACAAAGTTTAAAAAGCCGCCTTTTGTTATCGATAATAGTTATAACATAATGACCATAAAAATTTTTAGGCTTTTCA